TCTGAGAACAGTCACCTACACATATTCCTGCTTTACATGGTTCTCTTCATTCAGTTATATTCCTGGACAAGCTTCTACATAGTTTTCCTTGAACTAGATGCCCTATTGCTTCTAAAGTTATGCTGAAGGAAATAAAATTAAATTCCTTCCTTGAAGATAATTTCATTTTACTCTCAGGCATGCTGTGTGAGCACCTAAGTGCAGCAGGGTAAGCACTCTAACCCTGCTTGCAGGTGCCTTTCATGCACATTGCCAAACTCTCACCCATGGAGCTGCCATGCACTCCATGCCCACACAGCCAGATCTCCTTCCAGGGGAAAGCACCAGGGCAAGGAGAGGGAGAACCTGCATCGTGTCCCAGTGGTTAGGCAGAGTCAGAAGAGATAAACACTCAGATTATTCCATGTATAAAGTATTTAGGGGCCCAGATTTTTGTTGAAGTGATTTCCCTTTGGATGCAAAGAACAGGATGAGTCCCATTGTTAGTAACTGCTCATCCATCCCTTCACTCTGAGTATCATCTAGAATAGGTTTTCCATTCTTGTGTGCTCAAATGGTTTCAGTTATTTGCTTTTTAAACGTGAGCTATGCAACTGTAAGATCCATACACATTCCCACTAAATCAGATTGAGAATCACATTGAGAGTTTACAGAAGAAAATATTACCAAGTTGTCTTTGTGACAGAACACTGAGTAGGTATAAAATTGCAATGGTCTCTATGCCAAGTTTTTTTTAAGCTCTCAGCTTGTAAGATGAAAGCCTAATTTGATATTTTTGTAGTTATATAACAGTTCTAATATTTTGTGACATTTTGTATTGTGACACTATAGATGAAATTGTCATCGGACTGACACCCTTTACTGTTTATTCCTTAATTACAACTGTTAACAACACTGCAGAGAAGCGTGCTAATCTGCCATCACATATTATGAAAACAACGTTATTGTTACAAACACCAACACCCACTCAACAGGATAATTCTAAGATGGCAGTTTCTGTAAAAAGTTATCAGTTTAATGGACACTTCAATAGAAAAAGTTTAAAATGAACTCCTAATATTCCTGTGGAAAATACACAATTTAATATTGCACCTAAAGTTTTGACTTTATTGTGTCAGTGATTCTTCATGCTGCATAGGGATATAATGTTTTTTGAATGGTGGAGTCTCTCTCTATGTAGTATGAAGATGCATAGCTCAGATAACTAGCAGACTAGTAATATTTGCAATCATTACATTTTCATATCCTCACACACTGGCAGAGGTACTTTTTTTCCCTATTACTTCCAGGTTGGGAGTGGAATGACGTTGTTGCAAGAGATTAAATTTTAACAGTATATTGACTGTTAATCTGTCCAGGTTCTTAACAATAAAAGAAATTAATATTTTATCAGCTTCTTTTGCTTAGGAAAGAAATTTTTTGCAGGCCATGTCACACACCAGAAAGGATCTTCCACTGAACTGACATTTCTAAAAGTTGTGTACCAGTGAATTTTTCACAATAACTGAAAATGAAAATATTACACCTTCAACTTCTACGAGATATAAAAGTCAACTTCTAGAAGTTGCAGATGTAATATTTTCATTTTCGGTCATTGAAAAGCTTCCCAGACTCGTGGAAAGCCACTGCCAGTGACCTTTCAGTTTGCTTCTTCAAACTTTCCATACCTCAGAAAGTTCTCACTTGTAGAACTTATCAGCAGAAAGAAAACAGAATTAAGAGCAGCCTAGAAGTAGCACAAAGCCCTAGAGATTCGTTTGCCCACCTGTTAGACAACAAATACAATGCAGGTTGGGAAAAGCTGCCTGGAGTGAGGGGTATGAGTGATCAAAGTGGCAATGACAAAAAAAAACAGGGAAGAACCAGATGCAGAAATTCAAGTTTCTTCCTGCACAGGTTCCTGGTGCTAAACTCTGATGCACAGCCTGCCTTTTTGCTAACAGTAAATTCTTCCTTTCTGACTCATCCACGCAGAATGCATGCAGCACAGATGACTGAAGTGAAGAAAGATAATGCAAGAATCTGTCTTTACTTATCGCACTTATATGTAGAAGCAGAGAATTAAAAATAACATAAAACTCTTCTCACACTGCAAACCCAATTGCCTTGGTGGAAATCTATACACAAATGTTTCTCATTCTTGATACTAAAAGCCCATTTGAGGATTGCTTCTCTAGTACAGAATAAAAATAAGGAATCGTACATAATGCAACAATGGAATTAAATAATCCTATGTAATTCATTTTAATTTAAATTATTTACATTTCAGTTTAATGGCATGATATTCTGTTGATATCTGGATGATCTTCTCTGCTTAAGTGATAAATTACAAAACAAAATGAAACTAAAATGTTTATTTTTGTGAATCTTCTTCAGGGTAGTTTATGCTCTGCTTTGTAGCTTTCATTTTCTTAAAGCCAATAGGAACTTCTGCTCTTCCTAAAAGAAACTCTTCCCATTTGGGGAGAGATTCTTTTATTGATGCCCAATAGAGAGTCTGAGAAAGATATAAGAAAAAAATAAACTTAATTTCAAAATCTGTGTCAGCCAGTTTAAAACAATATAGAAATGCAATGCATTATTAAATCTTACTTTAAGAGTAAAGCAATTCAGAAAAGAACAATGTACTTAACATATGAAATTTTTAATCTCTTATATGATATAAAATATCAGCTTGGAAATATTTCATTCTGCAGGACAAACTGTGAAGTGACTGAATATGCCCTCTTGTGGTAAGCAACACATCAGTTTAGACCTTAGAGTACCTTTAATAAACTATTTTCCATGATTATATACTTTTCCAAAAGCAGTTTTTGTATTTAAGTAGGTATGTTACTGGAATTTCATTTTGCAGAGGAAAAAAGGTTAGAAATGAAGGCTGCCCCTTTACCAATGTAAATTGATCATTCTAGAAAAGTTTACGATACTATACAGAACTATAATTCAAAATATTTGAGTAAAATTTTAGACTTGATAATTCACTGATGGAGTAATCATATCCAGTATTTGGATCACAAATTAAAATAATAATAAAAAGGTGGTGCATATTTAGTGAGTAGTCCAGGAGAATCACTGTGGATCATCTAACCTTTCCTCTTGCTTTACACTGTGCCTCTGAGTAGTAAATGTAACATATTATTTATCTGTGTTATTACTCATTCATCATTTTTGTGTTGGTAGGATTTTCAGGAATATTTTAAGTGCCAGGTATAATTTTTTTCCCCACAAAATAACGTGCTCTAAGAACTGTGCTAAGATAGCCCTTTAATCCATCCACATATGTATTTATTGCCATTCAGAAAAATGCAATTTTGCAGTATAAAACAGTTATAATACCTATGTAGTGAGCCTTTTTTTCTTTACTTAAGTGTATAATGAAGGAGAAGTGCAGCATAAACTGAAGATCCCCCTGCACAGAATTGGATTCCTGGCTAATCACTTTGATCCTTACATGTAACTCAGATATAACTATGGCTCTTGCAGGTTTACAAAAATATTTTCCTCAACAGATTTACTCAAAGAATCTTTTTTGACAAGCATATGTGCTGTCACACAAAACTACTCCGACTCAGCAAGCTGGGGATCCATTATAGCCATAACTTTCAGAGTATATTAATACAGACACATATATGGCTGAGTGAAATATGCTCAGAAGTGTTTTGGAACAAAGCACGCGCAAGAATTTTGTACCATGAAAGAAAGTTTTCTTTTCCCACTATTTATAGCACTCTTCTCTAGAAGCATAAAAAAAAAAAAAAAAAAAAAGCTGAAATAGGATCTTCTCCTTCAAATAGTAACTCTGCTCTCTCCAAAATTTCACCACTGCTGCAGAGTGCAGGCATTCTGCAGCCACGAGCAGTCGCTCTGCAGCCTCCAGTGTGTGCTGACTTCAGTGGAGGAGCAGCTTCACAGCCACCATGGACTAACTGACCCAAACACCTCAGAGGAGCTCCAAAGTCACTGAAGAGTCTAAAACTGCTTCTGAACACAGCCAAGACAGGTTTAATGTTTAATATTAGTAGGTTGGCATCTACTTTAGCATCATTCAAAATGTACAAGTATTCAGGAAAGGATGTACCCTTTTGCCTAAAAATGTCTAAAAATAATAAAAAAGCCACGGAAGGGGCATAGCCAGTGTGCACCCTGTCACAGCCACAGCAGGCTATTTACAAAATGCAATGACAGATGAAAACTTTGAACAAGAAGTGATGCCTCTCCTTTAAGTAATAGCCTAAGCATGCCAACACTTGCCCAGCAGGTGTGAAGCTGAGGTACAATCCACCTCTCTTCAGAGCTGACAGTGCTGGAACCTGGCCCTGAGCCCTGCTCTGACAGAGCCCCGGCACCCAAACCAGCACGGGACACTCTGCTCCTGTGCCTCTGGGAACCAAGCCACCACACAGCACAAACACCAACCACTGGGGCAAGAAACAGATGGGAATCTGCTCAAATTTTTATCTGAAGTAATGCTTTAGGGACTGCAGGTTGAGAAAGAAAAAAAAAAAAAAAGAACCGAGTGTTCCTGCTGCAGTACTCTTCATAGGCTTCCATACAACTCTAAAATAATCAATAGGAAATTTTCTCTGTTCATGCTGATATAAACAACTGACCCTGAAATGTAAAGATGACAATCTGTGGTAAACTGAGAATGGGATGACCATATAAAACAAACTAAATAGCTCTGACATAGTACACACAGTAATCTTCCAACATTCACAGTATTGATTTTTTATATTTGAGTTCACTTTTGAATAGAAGTTTGTAGACCTGAAAGCTGCTAAATATTTCCACCAGAATGCTCCAGAATCTAGGGACCTTGTCCCAGAATTTAGGTTCAGCTTGCTACAACAGTACACAGGCCTTTGGCTATACCAGTCACTGGATTTTAAAATCAATTATTTTCACTTTAAGAACACGCTTCAGGGGAAAAAAAAGCAAAATATTTGGTAAACAGCAAATGGAAACAAATGAAAAGACAGAGTTCTAGGACTTACTTCTAACTTAACAGTATCAGGATGTGGAAGTAAATACATTCTCTCTTGCAGCTTTTTTTCTGCTGCTTCTATATCCTAAAACACAAGCAAAGTACATTTTAAAAACAAGCACTGAGAATTTTAAAAGAAAAACATACACATAAAGACATTTAAATTAACTAAATAAACCCATTACAGCTAAACAGCATTCAAAAATTAACACTGAAGTTCAAATATTTGTTTAGTCACTCTGAAATACAACTTGTACTACTTAGACTAACATCCTACAGCTGCTACATGTGCTTGCTGCACCTTTTTCACACAAGAGTACATTTCACAACCAAGTAAGACTTTTGCTGCAAACACTGCTATTCTCTCTGGACACCAGGGTAAATTAGTTAAATTCTGTTGTATAAAACTTAAGGAAATAGAGGGGAAGAGAACATTTCTCTGTGCTGCATAAGACTGAAGTATGTATTCTAGCTACTGTAACTGTAAAGTAACTAGGCAAATTATGTGCAAGATCTTTACTTCTCAAGACAAAGATGACTTGCTAATATGCATGCATAACATGTGCACATAAATGTAGAGCTGCAGCAAGCTGTTCACCAGACAAGCTTGGATGACAATGCACCTCACATAGTTTTCTTACAAAAAAAAAATCAGTATTTGGGTTTCTGCTTGTCCAGTGGATGTGTGCTGGATTCACAGAGGCCCAAATAAATCTTATAAAAAAGAAGCAACCAAAAAAATCAACAGCAACAAACAAATCAAAGCATGCTCCCAAACTAACCACCCTCCCCCTTTAAAGTTCTGACCTGTTCTTGTGGGCTTAGTTCCATACCCAAACATTGAAGAGATTGAGTGGTGGGCAGATGAAGAGAGACAGAAAGGGACGTGGGAGTGGGGTGTGAAGAAGCCAAAGCTGAACAGAGTGGAGGGGGAAAGAAAGTATAGCAGATGGCAGAGTTGGGAGCAGAGAGCGGGTGTGAAGAGTACAACAGAAAAACTAAATGAGAGAGGAAATTCCCCAAAGGGACTTCCCAAATATTCACCACCACTGCTGCTGAAAAGAAGAGTGAGATTCTGGAGGAGCATATCCACAAGAGAGACCAAACATGATTACTAGTATTGAATAATAGCCAGTGTGAACACATCAATAAGTAAACAGTGCCCAACTCAAGTTTAGTTCAGTAGAATATGATTAATAAAAGCAAAAACCCAGCCTTGCTCAAGTTTAACTTAGAGACACACACAGTCAGATTGTTCAATTTAGTGTTCATCTTATTTTATTTCATTAATTCCTTTTACAATATTCTCTTGTATATAATAGCAAAACTAATCCAAGTAAAATTGTTCCTCCCTTTTCTACAGCAAAATCCATACCACTGTGATGTCTGAGAAAGAGTAAACTAGTTCTCAGATTTATCCAAATTCTCAGAAGCAGCAAATGGCTGCCCCTTCTCAGGTAAGAAGAGACTAATGGAATAAACATATAGAGGGAACAGGAAAAAGGACATAGGCCACTTGAAATCCTGATGTCAAAATAACAGAGGCCAACACAGATTTAAGTGACTTAAGCACAGAATTTCTCTGTTGCACATACTTAGAACACAAACACACAAACAGCACCAAATGAAGCTCGTGTCAGAATGGCTCAGGCCAAGTCTGGAGAAGTTATCCCATAACAAACCAGAGTGAAAAAGGATCATTCAGTAATGTTCACCTCATATTCTTCCACTGCATTTTCCTCCTTTCTGATTCCTTCTTCCTAATTACTGCAGGAATTTTAACAGGGAGGAAGAAGAATATCAATCATTATTTCTTTATAGACTCAGCCAAGGAACTGGAATGTTTATGGTGATAGGAAATGAAAGACTTTCAGGCAAGAAAGGAGACAGCAGTTGTGCATCTATGTTTAGTAGAGAAGGTCACTTTGGCATAGCCTAGATATTGGATGTGTCTTTTCATTGCTCACTCCAGTTTGTGTTGTGCAGTCTATTGTCATTCAGAATACTGATTTAATGACAGACAGTGAAAGAAATTTTTGCTGGAAGGTGTAGTATGCTTTAGAAAATAACTAGAACTACTGAAAGATTAGATGGCACTTCTTGTGTGTCTACACAACTGGTAAGCTTTATAGGAAAAATAAATCCCTGTCATCAATATAAAAATAAATACATCAGCAGTATAAACTTCTTTGGAAAAAAACCAGCTAATCTAATATGTCACTGTACTGAAAAAAAGAGAGCATCTTACAGTGCTTCCCCTAAAACCACAAGGACTGGAACAAAAACAATTCAAGACCTTTCCCCAGAGGTAAAATGGAATGCATGACACATACATTGCTTTTAGGGGACCAAATTCAGCTGTCACTTATATTGATATCAGTCTGGCACAATCACACTTAAATAATTCTGGAATTGCATGCCTGGGAAGGAAAGCAAATTTGTTCTAAATTACCTTTCCAGTACTAATTACTATATAGCATACTCTTTCTTTTCTATTTCATGTTACAAGCTGTTGCACAGCAATACATATTTCTAAACACAAGAAATATCACTGAGAAACAAATGTCATAAATTAGATTACAAATACTAGTCTAATTTCTGCTTTTATTACGACAACATTATATAAGCACCAAATGATACAGATTTCCCTAATCTGCAGTCTCCCTCTAAAGACATTAAGGAAAATACTCTGATAATTATGCTAAAATGCTGAACAAATGCTTATAATGTCAAAATTTCAATTAAAAAAAAAAAAGGTTAGTTCCTTGCTTCCTACTGATTAGAATTTAAATTAATTTTGAAATCTTTCCTGTGCATAAATTCCAACTAGCACAGAGAAAGAAAAATGGCTTTTGCTATGATCTATTACTGAAAACAACTGATTTTGCTTACACGCAGAAAACCAGAAATGCAAATAAAAAAATAACACTTCGTCATGTCCATGTATTTTTGAGTAGGCCAAATCAACAACTCTCCACATGGTAACTGTGAAATGTACAGTGCCTGGTATCAGGAACAATATTCTGAATCTGGCACATTAATCAGTCTTGTTTTCAAGCTTCTCATATATTATGCTGCATAGATTTTTTTTTTTCCTGTTTTCTTCTGTTATCAAAAAGCATCTGCAGGAGTGCATGCTTGTTAAAACTAGGATAAAATTAATAGATTTAAATTGATTTATGCTATTTTATCCTGCAACAGAATTTGTTTTGATACATATGTTTTTGCTTTTTTTCTGTACAAACACCAACATTTTTGACACTTGAAAGGAACAATTTTGAGGATGTGACAGAAGATAGCAAATATCTGTTTAACTGCAGAAATATTTACACTCTGTATATGTCTGAGCTATTGTTACCATTTCCACTACAATATAGCTTTTAGGATGGAGAAATATATTCTGCATTTATTGTGTTTGCCTGTAAACTGAGAATGCATTCATAAACACAAATAATTTATAAAACCCTATATTTACAAAGTAAAAAACTGACCTAAAATGCCTATGGAAAATAGGAATCATAATGGCTGAAATTACTAAATGAACGGAGCAGGAGCCAGGGAAAAAATAACCAAACCATCCATTTATCCTCAGCCTCTCTCTGATGCACCTACACTTGGTATACCAAATAAAGGGGGGCTTGATTGTCCCTGTCCAGAGCGTACCAGCTCACCAGCCCAAGCTGAAAAATCTTCTTTGTCACAGAATAGTTAGGAAAGCATTCCTGCCTAACTGTTCTTCTTGTCTTCCCCTCCCTAAATAAACATCTCTTTTAAATACACACTCTAGTGCAATAGATTTATACCCACCCAAAATGTGAACATTTTAAATCTGAACCAGGCTCTGCATGAAAAAAAAACAAAGAAATTCTGGTGACACAAACGAATCTTGTCATTTTCTAGAGTAAAACTTACTTTTTCAATAAACACAACACATGCATTATGAACCCTTAATAAGTAGAAGCTTAAAGAAAAGGCACAGTAGGTTCAGTTTTCTGCTGCCTCCTGGAAAAGCAACACACATTTTTCAAATGCATCATGTCAGTGGTCAAGTGCATCTCTTCAAACCCAGATGCCTGAGCTAGGGGTTCCAGAGAAGCCTTTCAGTTTTCCAGTCAAACTTAGACCTTTTTAATTACCTAGGAAACAAATTTTACCTGAATATTACAACAGGTGTGAACATTATTAGTGGTGTCACCCCTATGAGGTCTGCTTTTACAGACTTGCAAGCAAAATGCTTGAAGTCACTCTACACCTCTTTAGAGAAAAATACTAAACTGAGAACCTCTTCCACAACTTAACCACAGCAGGAGAACAGTTCCTACCCCTGCAGCCTGGTCAGCCCATTTCCAAACATCCCTGCAGTGCAGAGGGGCTGTGAGTCCTGACAGACCCGAAGTTCTCTCAGGCAGACATGTACTAGCATGTGCTACATCACTACATGTGCCCAAAAAAAATAAAAATACATAGTAGCAGCTGCCACCACGAGGCTTTGGTAAGAAGGGCACGGGAAATAGGTAGTGATGCCATCAGATAATAAGGACTTGTCATTTAATACTTTTTGGTCAAGTTCCAGAAGAGGGAACCATATAGAAGGGAATTCAAATGACAACTATAGAGCACACACTTCTCTTTTTTTTTTTTTTTAATTATCTAAGCTACATAACTGTGACATTTTGATACGGTTCCTGGTAGTTGCAGAAACTTACATTTAAAAGTGCTGCATTCCTTTTATGAGCTGCATCAGCTGCTTGAGTTTGCCATGTCTTTTTAGTCTTTTTGTCTCTTAGATAAGTCTCCATCTGCTGTAGCAGCTCTGATCTCTGAGACAGTCTACAAAGGAAAACATTTTGCTAAGTGGGTAGAACATTTTGCTCAGGAGCTAGAAAATAACCTTTTTACCTTACCCAGTTTTCTCCAAACTATGGGGCTAATTAAGCCGGCTGCAGGGTGGGTGTGCTGGGGGAGGGAAAAGGTACAGGCAGGCATCACCTGCTGTGCTGCTACAAAGCTGTAACCTTGCAACCAGCAGTCCTCAGATGCTGAGGTGCTCACAAACACTGAATCTCCCCCAGGAAGGAAAGACAGGGTGGGTTGGGGTGACTTGATCAGTACCACGTTTGCTCGTTGGCACGTACGAGTTGTTACAAGAAAAGCAAATCTTCCTGAATCACTACTGTATTTGCCTCACAATTTGAGTTTACAGGGCAACAAAAAGCAACTCTATAATTGAGGCATTGAGTGAGAGAATCCAATTACCTTCCCCAAACAGGAATTTAACAGTGACAGGTTGACAATGGAGATCTTAAACCAGTACCACCATTGGAAGTCAAAAACCTCATCAACCCAAATACCCTAAACGGCAGGCAAGGATGCTAATAATTCCCATGGTTCCTGAAGGAAGAGTGCCACCTCCTGGAACTCCAGCCCCTTGCTGCAGCACCACTGTGCTGTGCAGGGCTCAGATTATCGGGCACCGAGGATCGTGGGCAGGGAGGGAGAAAATCACAAGACCCAACACGAACTGATGTGAGGCAGAGCACAATACTCACATCTCCTCATGTCTTCTCGCAAGGTGAACCTCCTGAGCCAAACAGGTTGACATCCTCAGTTGTTTGCTCCAGTTTTGTACTCTATAAAAGGAAAGCCAAGTGAAATTAAAATTTTCTAAAGCTGTACATTAACGTACACTTTCTAGTATTAAACAATTCTGGTTAAAAAGCTGCACACATTATACATGTCAGCTATCTACACAAAACCTGCCACAAGGCATTGCTACGACTTGCTTGGAATACTACTAATAATTCACACTACTAATGTTCACAATATGTTTTAGAAAAAATGCCACTGTATTCCAATAATTTATGAAAAACATCTTTTTTTTCAGTTTCAGATTCAGCACTGAGTTTTCTCAAGTTTCAGATGCTAACAAGCACACACACACTTTGTGCTTACATAAATGACTATTACTGTTTACATTACTGATTTCTGGCTTTTGTCACGTTACACTGAACACAGTTAACATTGGAAACTACTTCTCACAGATACAGGGACCTGTTCACAGGAAACTACGTTTAAATTGTTTAGAACTTAATGTTTGGCTTTTTTCTGAGCTATTAAGATCAACTGCCCAGTGATGCAAATAAAGATCCTATAGCACTTTTTAGAAGATTGAAAATGTTTTGGCTATTTTTTTCCACCTCACAGGTGACCGCATTTTTACTTTAAGTAAAATTAAATAACTTGTCACGTGTTGATAATGTCAAAGGGTGGCAGAACTAAAAAAGGCCATCAAGATGACATTAGTTAAGGCTTTCTGACTATCATGTGTCACACGTAATTCTGAAACCACTGATTTACATCACTGGCCTCTGCTGACGCTGGCGGGCATCTTCTAGGAATGTATGTTTTACCACACTGTGAAAACACCTCTGTCCGCCCGGCCTGTCGCTAATGTTTAACCCCGTTTAACAGGGGGCACACCCATTCAGTGCTCCTTCCTTCAGCAGGGACACTTCGTGCTCTTTGTGACACACCTTTACGGGGGACAGAGGAAGCCAGAGCATCCCGCCGCCCGTACCTGCTGTCCCTAAGGGCGCCTATGGCTGACAACAGCAGCGATAGAGCAGCACCATGGTGAGTGACAGACCGGCGCCAGCCTGAGCATCCTCCGCCGCCGCACCGTGGGGCAGCCGCTGCCCTGGCCTGAGGCAGCCCGGGATGAACCTCCGTGGGCAGTCCCCGGATCTCAGCAGCCCCAGGGAAGCCCCTGGGGCCGAGAGCGGCACCTCCGCCTCAGGCCGCGGCCCCAGCGGGGCGGGAGCGCCACGGCCGCAGCGGGGCCGCGCACCGCCTGCGCCCTACCACTGGGAAAAGGTGGGGGGGAGGATGGATTTACGATCACTTTGAAAGGTACCATCCCGTATGATTACGGGACAATAAGTCAGGAAATAAAAATAAAACACCAAATACACTAGCTAGTTTACCTTTAGCCTCGCCGGCTTCGAAAAGCAAAGCAACCAACCGCAATGGTCTCCGGGACGTCTTAAAACCCCCCGCCCTCGCTGCCATGGAGACGGCCGGAAAGGTGGAGCCGAGCTGTCGCTTCGGTGGGCGGGATCAGGCGGGGGCGGGAACGGATTCCGCCCCTGGGATTGGAGGAGCGAGAGGGCGCGGGACCAATCACGGCCCGGGGCGGGAGCGCGGGGAGAGGCGCCCGGGGGCGCGAGTGCCGCGTGCCCGCGCTCCTCCTCCCCGAGCTCGCTCCGCCTCACGGAGCTGCTCTCCCGGAGGCCCAGGGGTTCCTACCGGGATTTGCGTTTAAAACAAGGGTTCCTCCCTCTGTGCAAGGCACAGCTTTCCATGTCCGAGCCGGGGCAGCGCCCGGCAGCTCCAGCCCTCTTCTCCACATGGTTTCCAAACCTTGTGATGTGATCCGCCCGTGTGTCAGACCGGAGTTCCTTCCCGGGCTGGAGGGCTGCTGAACCGCGTCTAGTCCTTTAAACGCAAACTTAGGTCAAAATATACATCAAATAAAAAAACCGCAATCCACCTTTTTTGCTTTCTGTAAATGTTTTGTCCTTCGCAGAAAACACAAACAAAAAAATTCCAAGCTAGATAAAGCTGAAAAATATGTTTTTATCCATTTCATTTGTGCCCAATAGCTTTATGCACGTGTGCAGCTGTAGATTTCTAAAAGCTGCTCTGAAAGTTCTTGTCTTGCCTGAATGATTTCCATATTCTAAGCATTCTCTCATCCTAGTTTAAGACACCTCATCACAAGCCTTTCTTACTGCTGATCAAAACCTATTTCTTATGGTTTTTAATATCTTTATATTTTCTACTTTTCCCCATTTTATATTTCTGCAACAAATTCACATTAATTCACTTCATGACATAAGTAGAAGTTCTTTAATGTACTTGTCAACTTACCCTTGCTTATTGTAGCAGTCAGGATAAATAGTACTTAAAAAGGTATTTTAATTTCTTTTTATCATTGTGATTTAAAGACAAGACTTTCCAATAAATGTCACAGAGTTGTAGGAGTCAGTCCTTATTTCTAATGGTGCCAAAAGCTAATTGTAATGGTCACATTAACTGCAGCAGAAAGCCCAAGTATTTTTCCATATTTTATTTTGAGCTACACCAGCTCTCTGTAATGGCTGTGATCTTTCTTTCTTTGTAGCATTTAATGAATTTCAGGAAGAAAAGAGACAAACTGAAGTTTGGTTTACGTAGACCATTAGAGATGCCATTTGTGACGAGCATGCCAAGAGCATTTTAGTAAAGTTACAGATACTATCAATTGTTCAGTATTGTGGAAACAGAGACAGGATGGAAGACGTAATTTCCTAATGGCTAATTTCTTATGTGACAATGTGACTCAGCTATAAACTTATTTTAACCTAGATTGGCTCTGAAGTTGTCAAGAATATAAGGTTTAAACTTTAAGCTGTAAAAATCTGAAAAACTAGATGCCTGCCAGTGGGACCCTGAGGTCTGTATTTACTGTCCATACAGATTAAGGATTTAATGTTAGTGCTGAAATGGGAACATTGTGACCCTTGCTGTTTTTTAACCCTGCAACTTAATTTTGTTCTGGAAGCTTTGAGGGTTTTCAGAGTGAAATTGGTGGATTGGGACACTAGATGGCACTTAAATACAGCTAACAGAGATTTTTGTCTCTTTCAGCACACAAAAACAGTCTAACACATCCTGTTCTAACATGCAGTTAATTATATCCTCAAAATGATGTCTTGGATTGATATTACTAAACAAACATATAAAAAATGTAATTACAGACAACTGAAATAAATACTGTGGGCTTATAATTGCAAGATATGTTTTTTGCTTGTAATATGCTACACACCTGTGCATAGTTTATATAGATAGTATTTTATTTTGTCATTTTTACTAACATTTAGGATGGCACGATTTAGTTTTGTGTGCATTTATTTACTACTACCAATTTTTGCCATATGTCAGTTTTTAAAAAAGGAAATGTTTTTATATATTGGGATTGCAAGGCACCAGTATTTCAAAGGGAAAACTGTTAGAAAGGAGTTTTCTTATATGAAACCACTTTAAAACTTTTTTAAAGAAATGCACATATTTTAATTTTTTTTTCTTTGCTTTCCACTTCTTCCTTCCCTTACCTTTTGGAGGTACACCTCTGTTGGTACAGTAGCCGAATATCCACTTTGAGGTCTATCTAAATATTTGTTGGGTGACATCATTGGTAAAATGCAGCAGGGCTATGGGACAGTGTGAGAGCTGTGGAATCCCATCAGAGAGCAGCCTGTGGCCGTCACCTTGGCTTGTGGCAGTTCTCCATCAGCTGCAGAGGCTCTCAGCAGCATTTCCATCAACTGCACAAAGCCCGGGCAAAGCTGCTTTGAGTTACTACAAGCTAAAAGGCAAAGGCATGCAAGGAAATGCCTCCCAGAGCAGGACTGAGCTAATAAAGTAATAAACTTAGGAGGTTAAAAAACAGGCTTCTAATTCCTCTTTCACGTTCCAATTTTCAGAGACTAGCTCTCAACCTTTCTGTTGTCAGGTCTCCTACCCTTCCCTGTCCTGTGTTACAAATTGTTGTCTTCTTTGTAGATGTGATATTAGAGCTAAGATGAAGCTCATAAATTGTAGGACAACTCAACAACACATTCCTGTATTTGGGTTTTGGGGTTTTTGGTAGCTAAAGGTGTGTATTTGGTGTGGGAAACACTGATGCACATGTGGAAGTGTTGCTGAAAAAAAAATTCTAACACATTACTCCATGCTTAGACAAACTAATGTAAT